CCAAGCTAAGCAGGGTCCGGGCGGGGCGGGGCGGGGAGGGGAGACGGCGGAGCACCGCCCGGGACCGGGACCGAAGGGGAGGAGCTGCCGACTCCACCGGTGGTCTCTGTGGGCCCCTCTCCGCAGCCCAGCCCGGAGCCCCCCCCGGCTGTCCTGGGGGTGCTCCCCCGAGCAGGGAGCTCGCTCCACCTGTCCCGGGCCATGAAATGGCACCTGGGCAAGAGGCGGTTGCGATAGAATTTGCGTTTTAATCCGTAAAAGCGGGTACAGCGCAGAGAGATTTCTCCAAAGAAAAGCGAGGCAAGGCGCGTTAATGCCGCAGAGGGGTTTGCTGTGACAGATTCCACCCCCTACCATTAAACTTTCATAACTGGTTCCCGTACGTTTAACGGTTCCTGTTACAGCAATACAACATCAGCCAGAGGCTGCGCACCAACTCCAGAGGAAACTCCTCTTTCTTCACTGGGCCACGGTACGGGACTTTGGCAGCTACAGGAATACCCGCAAGCGCAGCCATAGGACACGGGTCGGGCGGTGTGTGCCACTAACGCCCATCTACGTCTTGAACTTTGTGAAGACTTATTTTCCCCTACAGCTATGAAATCATATGTATGACTTTACGCGTGAGGATACCACAGGGAGTTTCTTTCTTTAGCATTTACATTAATACAAATTAAAGGCTGTGGCTGTACAGACAATCCACACCTTGGTTCCAAAGTCTGCATCCATATGTAAACAAGTATGTTTACTTATTACTTATTATTATTGTAAGGATGAGTTAACTAGAAAATGTGCCAAGGATAAGACCCAATACAAACCCATTTTTTACACATACACAGAGTACATACATTCTACAATACAATCCATTTACATATTGTGTAGTTGTAATATATATGATAAAAAAATCTACTTTTTTTTTTGGTCTTTACTCAGACTGCAAAATCCAAGTGTTACCACCTCTAAAAAAGTTGCTTTATACGTGATGTCCAAAGTCAGGCACCAGATAGTAACACACAGCACTTCAAAGTCAAGTAAATTACATTTGTGTTACAAGACAAAAAAGACAGACAGAGAGGAAGTTCTTAGCGGTAAATGACTGGTGCAATGATTCATTCAGAATCATCATCTCACAGTCCCTCATATCCTCTTCCTGAGAATTATACAGCCCATTCTACAAATCAAAAATGATATGCATTCTCTCATTGCATGTACTTAACTGCTAAGTATTAGCACACAGCAGTAGAGGAGAAGCCCTGTGCTATTATAAACGCACAGATATGTTGTTTAATCTCAGGAAGAAACTGCAAGTAGTAGTTTTAAACAGATACTGATGTAGTGTTTTTAAAAAACAAAACAAAACACACAAACCCCCACACACTCACCAAAATGCACATTGCCTTAAATGTTTAAGTTCTTTCTGCCGGAAGAAAAGGGGAAACAGACAGTAGGCTGCTATGCGAATTTGTGGGAAACTAACTCAGTACTGACCTTCTTCAGTCACATTTGATCCTTCCTTTCCATTTTTTTAGCCAGTCCCAACTGCTGACACTCTCTCCCTTAGCAACAGCTCGCCAGATCACTGTTCTAGCACCATGTTTTTGAAACCAGCACGGCTAAAACCAGTAATAATATCCTTATAAATACCTATTATATATCATTATAGTTGTATTCCTATGCTGAAAGAGGTTATTTCCCTCAAATTCCAGTTACACGGGGACAAGCCCCTTTACATTAGCAGGAATATTTCTGCTCTGAGAGGTTGTACAGTTTAACTGTTTTGTCAAAGGGTCTTAACTGATAGTTAAACCAGAACAAAACTGTGCATAGACCATGCAGCACAGACTCACCCCTTCCCTCTAACTAACATGTATTGTCAGGACTGCTACATCTGTGTCATCCCCAGGAAAAATCAGAGAACAGCAATACAAGTTCTTGTTGGCACCCTCTTTGCAGGCACCAGGAATGTTCTCCTGTGTTGTTGCCTTTCACCCTACTGCACAGCAGGAGATAGATGACTTCCCAGGCCACGGAAGATGAGAGCACAATGTCTACCCATGTCCTAAGAGAATTCAAGTCTGTACAGTATCTTTATTATTAACTTCACTGTTTGGAACTTTGACAATTACTAGTAAAACTCCCAGGAATAAGAAAGGCCAAGTAAGACACACAGAAATTTATTTTTATTTTCTTTAATTTTTAAAAGTATAAAAATCCTGTGCATTTGAAAAAGCTTTTAAAATCGGTCATAGGGAACTGCTGGGCTACTCCATTTCCTTTCTGTAAGGATCAGAGACATGAGGCAGTTGAACAGTTTGTCACTAATCTGACTAAACACACTAGCCTTAATACTAAATGCCAACTGAAGTATTCTGGTCCATCTCAGTTAAAACAAAAATCAAAAGAATTATTTTCTCCTCTGCTTTTAACTGTTCAAACATGCAAGCTTTTTTATAATTCGGCAGTTCAGTAAAATACCTCATGGTTTAAATGCTATAGAAATGCATGAAATTTCTATACACATTTTCTACAATTATGCATGTACAAGGAAGGAGCAGTCTTAGTTTATCATGAGTTCTTAACATTTAAAATATAATATGTTTTTAGGTTTTCCATGTGGGCATATCCTTGCATGTCAGACAACATACCAGTGTCTTTTTCAGGCAACAACAGTCCTAAAACCAATGTAGCTGTTGAAAAGGATTACAGGTTAAACTCTGCCAGCCACCATTCATACTCCTCACTTGCCAACAACCCAAGCAGAGCAAAATATAAACTACCAGTTACAGTCATCAGAGATATCAACTATCCTCAGCCAGAATCTCAGGATATTCCTCCCAGAACTGGTCCCCAATAATGTCGCAGTGCAGGGGAACAACTTTAGTCCTAGTCCGAGTCACTTCAACTTCCTTTTCTTCTGCTTCCTTTGGCAGTTTTATTTTCTTTGTCACGACTTCATTAGTCTGAAAATACAGTTGACACATTATCAGACATACAAGACTCCAGAGGGGATTCACAAACGGACAGGAAACAAAGCTACAACAAAAGCAGCTATCAACCCTATGGCATACTACAGAATTTGAACACTGCCTCTTTTGAAAGAGAGTCTATTCTCAAATCAAACACTAACACATGAGCAGTTGAAACTGCATGTCATCATCACATGGCTCGAAGAAATTACCTGCAAATTCACATAACTCATTGCAAGTATTCTTGAATAAAGTACAATATTTAATTAGAAGATATATAAAGCAAATGGTAAACCTTGCAAATGTCTACAATTACCAAGAAAAAAATACGCATAAGGAACAAGTGGAATATATTTCCACATGGGAGCCTCTATCTGTTCAAATGAAGTAATAGAAATTGTTGGCCAAAATTTAAATAAAAAAAGAAAAGAAAGGATTAGAATTTTTTTACATATAGAAGACAAAAGGCTGAGCAAGTTATGGAGAACCCTTAACATACACAGATGGAATCCTGATCACACAAACCACACATATTTCTACTTAAGATCTCCTAGTACAGAAGGGCACTAAGGCCATAAACATTTATGATTCTCTGAGGTCTCATCTCATACGAAACACAGGACAGGAATTTCTTCCACTAATTCTGGATCAATAATGTAATCCTAGAAAGATTAATATTTCCAAGTTATCATTAAAAGGAATTCCCTATTAATAGCTGCACTCCTTACTATGCTCCTTTACAGAAGTAGAAAAGGACTAAGCATACTACAAGCTGAGCCACCATACTGAATGGAAATTCGTCATTCCTTCACAGCAGAAATACTTGGGATCTACTCCTGTGAAGGGCCTGGCAGAGGCCCCAATGATTACCATATCAAACTGACAACAGTCATTAAAATGTAATTTTTGCAGGAAGCAGAATACTTCATCAATTTTCAAAGCCAGTGACACTCAGAAACCAACTGTATGATTCATTAAACAAGGGAGATTTATCTAGCAAATACATCAGTCCTGCGAAATTCTACACATACATTGTCATCTGTTGATACATGTTTTCTCTCAACGGTCATAATTTGTATCTGAGCCAGACTTCAGAGACTAGTTTTTATACTATGCTCATAGATACAGATATCTCAAAAACATCTCCAAAACAATTAGTCATCTTACACATCATTATATGGCAAATATGGTTAGTTCTAAAATATATTTATACATAGACATGCATTTGGGATACACCTGGTGATCTTACAGTGTAGCTTGTCTGCCATAGTGTACCTATTTAAAATACGAGCATGAAGCAAGTGGTAATACAGTTTTTTACCTTCTGCCATATTAAGACAGTTCCTTTTCTATACATCAAAGGTTCATTGTTGTAGTTGATGTTGAATTCAGAAAATAAGATTTCATTCTTATCTCCAGCCAAAGTTCCCTGAGAGGAAATGAAAAGAAGAAGTACTCTTACAGAAAACAAACAAACTGAATCTCTAGGGTAGAAGACAGCTGAATATTGGAAGTAAGGCTGACATTTACACAGGTTTTTCCACCTTTAAATTACGAGGTTTAATTATGTCTCCCAACAGAGGAATTATTTCCAACTGCCAAATGAGGATATTAAAACAGAGAGGGGTTTTATTACATTTTCAAGACAAATAGAAGAAGTCAACAGACTCCAGGAGAAAACAGAAATAATCTGAAGTCTGCACAATAAGACAAAATACCACAGAAGGGACTGGGAATCAATAGCAGCTGAATCCTGCCATTGTACTTCACGTGTATGGATACTGGATGTTTATAGGAAATTTCTAAGATTTCTGAACTTGCTAATTAAGAAATTAAAATCCTGCTAATATTTGACCAAAAATACCTTATTTGCTAATCATATTAACATCTGTACAATTCAAGAAGTTGTTGGATCTACACCCATAAAATTATTACAGTAAGAAGAGACAAGCCAGCCAGGGCTGCTGGGTAGGCAAGACACAGCTTTGCAAATCTTATGATTTTCTTTGTAGCTGGAAAGAAGCATGACCTCAAGCGACTCTCACCTGGAGTCTATCCTGTGCTTGCACTGGTGTCAAACCACTTCGCTGTACAAGCATCCAAAACACTGTATTATAAAGGTTATTAATATGGCCTACAGAAAAAGAGAAAAGAGAGAGAGAATATTTACCAAAACTGAGTGACTACTCAGAAAAAACAGCTTTATTTCCAGAGTCATATCCAAGAAACAGCCATGAATAAAGGGGAATTAATAGTATCAGTTGCTAGAGAAGATACAATCTTTCTGATCCATTTTTAAGGTACTGTATATCATAAGAATGACTAGAAGATAGATTTCATTATAATTCTGAAAAGGGAGAGCAGAGGCTGAAGGGTGTTTATGTGTAACGTAAAATACCTTCATTTGAGCAACAGGGACTAGGTACTAACAAAATACTAGAAAGTAAATCCAATGGCTGTTCTAGCATGGAATAGACAGCACTTTTGATTGCTACATGGTGTGAATTTGAACATTCACATCTTTTCACTAAAGAAGATTACCTGGCTAAACAAACCCGGAACATACAAAACAATAAATTAATTCTATTAATAATTCTCGTATTTCCTATGCTGAACTCACTCCCAAGATGCAACAAATGTAGTTGTAGCCTGAAGACTGAGAATTTCAGCCAGTATTTCTGTATCCATACAAAGCCCAAACCAATTCTAATATTGTTTATTTAAAACTACCAACCTACCTGCTGTTCATTCACTAATACCTATGTATATACAAATACACTGGCAATAAAAGCATTTCTATTCAGAGAGAAAGAGAACTCAACTGCACAAATCTCTGTCTTCTAGAAACACTTACAATCTGCTTGTCTCCAGCTGAGGTAGTCCTTTAAATTTTGGTTGCTGGGATACAACACAATTCGTCCATCAAATCCTGGTGGGTACATAAGTTGCTGGTCCTTAAAGTAATCCTTCCAATAGAAAACGTAACTTGAGGCAAACTGGGAGACCACATGAGTCACGAACTTACTTGCAAACACAAAGCAAAAGGAAAAAGAAAGGGATACATCAATATGATTATGTATCTGTGACTATCTGAAGTATCAGTAGCGATAATTCTGGTGGATAGCAGCATTTCTTAAATAATGGCCCAACAGATCAGCAATGGAATACAGTCTTTTGAAGAACAGGAAGTACTGAGAATTGAGTAAAGAGTTTGGAAAAGGTGATGTTTTGTTAAAAGAATGTTTGTTCTAACAATGTTTGTTTCTAACGTTTGTTTTATCAAAACTTGTTTTAAAAGCTCTGTATCACTGGACATATTTTCCTGAAAGATCACAAAGAGTTCACATAAAGAACCTGAACTATTTGTAGTGTATGCACCCACACACAGCCCTACTCCTAACCTCTGTGTGTAGATAAAGGCAAATCTAAAGAATAATTACAGGTTCAGAGAGAGATGTTAAAAACAACTTCAGTATCAAAGCAGCTGTTACCTTGCTCTTCTTTTAAACCATCTACTCTTCTTTTTGAAAACAAAACTATATTCATCACTCTGTCCATAAGCAATAGCAATATCCTCCAATTCTTGCATCACTGTCTGGGCACACTTGGTCATCAGATGAAGAGCACGGTCATCATTTGGCTTTTTGAACTCATGCTGCTCAGAAAACCTTCAAAGCAAAAACGGTTGAATAAGAAACCCTTAAAAAGCTACTAAAAAATGCCAACCCATTCTTTTTCCTCATATTTGCTTTCCATGAATATTGATTGCCAGTATCCTGCCAATACTGACAGAGAATTCCCTCCAGGTATGAAAAGCGGTAATAAAAAAAGCTCGGTTTATACACTCTGGATAATCCATTTTCTTTCCCATCAGTATCTCACCCTAACCAGTCCTTCAAAACGTCTGGTTTCTGTATTTTACCTGGAAAAGAATGACAAATGCTACTTTTTGTAAACTCACTTTCTCCTAGGGTGCCTTTTATATGCAGTCCAATAAGGGATTGTCCCTTAGGGCAACATTATCAATAAAGTTGTCAGAACTTGAGAGCTTTACCAGAATCTCACGTGACTAAACCAGACATCAAGTCGCCAGCGAGAATATGTGTCATCGACCACTCGAGAGAACTGTGCTCTATTTATCCCAAAGAAAGGTGACTGCCACACAGACACTGACTCCAAACACAAATACCTATCCCTGTAGACCAGTTGCTGTCCCTCCCCCAGCACACCCAAGGCACTGGTATACCATTTCCCCACCACCCTGCCGAAGGTACGGTTCTGAAGATGCCCGTGGCCCCTGAAGACAAAACGACAGCAGTAATTCCGTACCCTGAAGAGGCCCAGCAAAGGGTTCACGGGCATTAGGGGGGAAAGGAGGATTTGCAACCCCTACACCTGCAGAATTCACACAGGTCGGGCAGGAAACAGCCAAGGCCAACTGCACGGCACCAGTCAGGATCCCTCTCCTCGGCACAGCACTCAGAGCCCGCACCCTCAGCGCCTTTAGGCCGAGGAAACTCCCGCCCCGCCGTACCCCAGCCCCCGTCCTCCCGCTCGCTGAGGCGTCGCCATAGCGACCACACCGCTAGAAGCGCCCCGGCCACTGGCTGCCCGCCCGGCCTTCACCTGTGGAAGTTGCGGCCGTCCAGCCGGACCACTATCCAGCAGTTGGGCAGACAGGTGTCGTCCGCCTCGAAGTCCCGCACGTACTCGAACTTGCTCTTCGCCATGGAGAGGCGGCGGCCGCGCAGACAGCCCGCCCGCCGCCCGCTCCCCGCAGAGATGGCCGACGCCACCCGCCGGCACACCAGCATGGCCGCAGCGGAAACGGAAGCGGCGGGCGCCCGCCCTCCGACTGTAGGACGCCGAGCCCTTCTGGGCGTCCCAGGCGGACCTCTCGATGGTTTCGGCGGGCCTCCGCCGGCGGTCACCATGGCGACCGCATGGCGTGGCGGGGGCGGGAGGCGGGATCG